ATTTATATTTCCTGTCAAGTTATGGTTCAAAGACAGCTTTTTGGCAGTATGACTTGTCGAATCCTCTAATTCTGTTTTGTATTGCAGGGAGGTTGCCAAAGGATTGATGAAATACCAGCCGGATATTATTATCAGCGTGCACCCACTGATGCAACATGTTCCACTTCGTGTCTTAAGGGGAAGGGGTCTATTGAAGAAAATAGTTTTTACCACAGTCGTCACAGATTTAAGCACTTGCCATCCTACATGGTTTGTTTTGCACGAAGCCTCTACTAATCATATCCTTTTCTCAGCATAGCTCTGATATTGTACATCTTCATGTCCAGGTTTCATAAGCTTGTAACAAGATGTTATTGTCCTACAACTGAAGTTGCAAAGAGGGCATTGAAAGCTGGACTCCAGCCTTCCCAAATCAAGGTTTATGGCCTCCCCGTACGCCCTTCCTTTGTCAAGCCTGTGCGACCGAAGGTTGGTTTCCTTTTTTATTGATCAACTAAGTCTTTAACCTTGATCTAATATATTGCATGAAAATCAACATTTGGTGTGACTGTAAAAGGGCTAGTGACTGTTGATTGAAATTGAAATCTGTGCTTGCAAGCTGTCAGTTGGGTTTGGATGATTTGCTGATTATTTTCTCTCTTATAAGTTATGGTAATGCATGAAATTGTATGATCAGGACCAAAGATGAGGCATGAGATTATAATTTTGAAGTAAGGTTGAAAACCAAAAAGAAATCCCTTTTGTTGTTGGGTCAAAACAGAATTGTTTGTCGGGAAAAGAAAAAGCTGGTAAGGAGGATATAGTTGGTCTGGGAATCTAAGGGTTGGGAGCTCAATTGCACTTATTCCATGGTTGTAGATGGGTGTTTAAAATAAATTTTGACTACCTTTGGTATGCTTTATTTATTTAACCGTAGGCTGAACTCCGGAGAGAATTAGGAATGGAGGAGGATCTTCCTGCTGTGTTGCTGATGGGGGGAGGAGAAGGAATGGGTCCTATTGAGGCTACAGCTCGGGCACTTGGGGATGCATTATATGACGAGAATCTTGGGGAGCCTGTAGGCCAGGTCCTTGTCATATGTGGCCGCAACAAAAAGCTTGCAAACAAATTGCTTTCAATCAACTGGAAGATCCCTGTCCAGGTATTTTTATACCTTATGAAGTGAAACTCCAAGCACATCATTTGTCATTGTTTTGCCTTCTCAGATTTGCATCATACAGGTTTATTTTCTGCCAATGATTTTTGGCTAGGCACCTGTTTTACGTTTTCTGCATTGATCTGCATGCCATTTGAATGCCTCGAAAAGAATCTTCTATAGGTTCATTTGTGATTCAGTTCTAACATGACATGCCTTTAGGAACACATCACCTACCCTAACATACCAATGCATGTACATACTTAAATTTATATGTA